TTAAGTAACAATAGTCTGGAATGTGTATCGGGATTGGACATGTAGGAGGGTACGCCTCGGTCTCATTTCTTTGCTGGGGACAGACCTCATGCATCCGTGTCCCACTTTCAGTCTCTCATCCGTCCAACGCCAACAGATCCTTGGCATAATCACGCGGCACAACCTGACGGAGGAATTTCTGGAGGAAAAGCTGGAGATGTACAGAGACCCGCCCCGGGCTTGCAGCGGTCTAGACGCCGACAGTGGGACGCAGTCCACCCATTAACATTCCAGATTGGTGATTAGTGTCCCCGGAAGGGATTTGATTCTGGGAGGGAGGATTAATAGGGGTGGGCATTGTTGGGGTTTATTTGGGGGGGGGGGTAGAAGTTCTTCGGTGGGGATAGGCAAAGCACCCATCACTAGTAAACCGATAAACCTCCCTGCCTCTTCCAGTAAGAAGCTGGCCCCCATCGGCAAAACTATAAGCATCAAAATGATCTATTGTTCTGGTGATGTCTCCCTCCCGCATGCCCACAGCTGGCAACGGGGGCTGAGGAGATATTGTTTTTTTAAAAACTTGTAAAAACTTTTCTTAGAATACGTTTAAATTTGTCCAAGTTCGCATGCCCATGTTTCGTTTTTGAAGTTTGCCAATTTGCACCCTTGAGAAACTCTTCAGATTTTTTTTTTTTACTTTTCAATTCAAGAAAAAAAAAAATCAGGAAGATTACTCAATGAGACAAGGGAAAATTTCAAGATCACAGATTTCAACTCATTTGCGTACTCGTATATACAACGTACTTCAAGCCACCGGTGAAACAGTTACTTTGTAGCATTATTTGTATAGCATCAATGTGTTTATGTTTGTACACGCTACGGTATTGCCCTATTTACTTAATACACTATAAAATCTTTTATACCATTGCCCGTTTATGAGGGCTGAGTGATTGTTACCAACCTTGCCTTGAGTTATTCAGTGCCATATTTCATGTTATGGATGTATTTCAGCAATGCATCATTCAACTATGTCTTTGATGTTTGATGCTGATTAATTCTTAGTTTTTGTACAATTCATACTAGCAAACACCATGAGCTTGGAGGCTGGTTTCCTCCATTTGGTGTGATGACCATTCTAGGCTGTTGAAACAGTGCTGTAAGGGGTACCGAAGTGAATACGTCATGTGCCCACTTGTGTTTGTGAAAGACATTAGCGTGAGAACCGGCGCGTGAACCAACACTCGCGCATACTCCATTCGTTTGTATGGCACTTCCTCATATTCAAAATGATTATCCCACTTCGGTACTCTTTTGGACAACTGTCATATATTGTTCCTATTTAAGTTCTAGAAAACCAAAACTGAGGAATATTATTTTCATGTCGCCGAGGTGACTGGTCATCGCTTTCAGCCTCATCATTAGTATTCACTTCCAAACGTAAAATGATTTGTCCATCGGACAGTTGTAAAGACAGGTTACAAGGGCCATTTTTCAAGCTCCCACCACGCCGTCCGATTTTCGGCTGTCTTCATCTTCAGAAGCCTCCCGTTAGCGACAAGCACCTGAATCAAATGGAAAGACTCCGGATCTTGGCAATAACAATTTGTATTTGACGGGCTGGGACATTTCAGTGGCTGAAGAATGGATCTGTGTACACTTTCGGGGGAAGGGGGAGGGCCCGTGGTTCCCCCCCCCCACTTTTTCAACTGGTGGTTACCCCTCCCCCATACTGTTGGCAGGTTCTTTTATTGGGCCGAGGCTTAATACACCCCCCCCACCCCAGCTCTGAAAACTGTTCTGCTACTGTTGTCCATGTATGAGTCTGGTCAAGGGCTTTCAATCCACAATCAAAGAAGTTCGAGAAATGACCGAGGATGGACAATGCAAGCAAGGTCACTTATCTCCCTCACGTGCCTTATGAAACAAAGTATTAAAGTGAACACAGAGCATTGTGATTTTTGTGACAATATGCAAATTCTTCTGAATCATTGTACTGTAATTGTACTCGCCGCATCCAGTTCTGAATAATGTCTATTTTTATACAGTGATTACCAAATATCGAGAGAAAATAAAAACAAATTTATCTCCAACTGTTTAAAAAGTGTTGAAAGTTAATATCTGTTGTACCCGTGCCTATTATTCAGCTCCTCACTTTAACTTGGAATTTTTGCCTCTTGTTTTCTGTAAGTTACATTTCTGTTTTGAATTTCTGCATCCACATATTAAACAGCTCCTATCAAGCGTAGGCCCACAGACACAATTCTGCTATTCAGAGACGGAAGTGCAAGATGCATTCACTCACTGATGTGATGAGCGCAAATTAATTTATTTCATTTCTCAGGAAACACAGGTTAACAAAACAGACAGTAAAACATAAATGTACATGATGGAGCAAAGGACAAAACCCAGCCAGTCCCCGATGGATTGCCCAAAAGAACAAGATTCCTGTCGAGGGGCTCTCCAGACTGATTGGTTTAAAACTTGCATAAATATTTAAATATAAATATACCATAGAATATCGTCAGTTTTGTTACCAGTCTAAGCGCGGTATATGTGATTCATAAAAAAAAAGAATCACACGTACAATGGTTCAGGATGTGTGTTCTTTTCCAAGGGGTAAAGCCGATAGTCGGATAGGCCATTAGTCTCTGAGCCGCGGTCGCGGATCTTCACAGAGACAAAATCAATTTCAGTGTTACCGTTCGGAACTTCAAAGCTTTGTGTCGCATTTTCACCGGGTGGAGAAAGTAAAGTAGCGAGTTGCGCACAGACGGGATTTATTCAGGTTTGTGCATATCGAAGACACATACTGTACACGGTGAATGTTTCACATCAGTTTAATGGCAAACTTTATTATGTCAATCAGTGACACGTTGAATATTCCGCTTCACCGTGAGGCGAACCTCGTGAAATTGTAACAATTGCGCTCATCACCTTCATGAAATTTATAAAGAAGTGTTTACATTCAGTTAAACTTTTAACTGCAATTTGTCTAATTTCTGACCATTTCATCCCCCCCCCCCAGATTATTTATTGAAGCATTTTAGCTGAAGTGAGCTTTGGCCCCGTTAGACTGCTCTCATGTTGCTTTTAGCCTCGCGTCGAGATCTCAGAAAAAAAATCTTTATTGGTGAATTATGGTCTAATATCGAGCCGAGCCTTTTGACACCATTACTGACATGTCGGGGGGGGAGGGATTAAATGCTATTATAACTTACACTTGCACACGTCGCGGGAAAACGGCACAGGCGGCGAAAAGGGTGCCTCAAAACTTCCAGGAAATGTGTAAAAATGTGAATTGATGTGGGAACACCGCCAGTTTTTGTGCATATCCTCCAGCGCACATTTCGTGCCCTTCGAAGTTAAAATCACCAGGCCTAGGAAAGTAACATGTCAGTAACTTTATAATTTCCAGTTTTGATTTTATTTAAACAAATAACTGATCCATGCCAGACCCCTTCTCTTTTTTGTCTTTTTTTTTTCATCACTTCAAAGATATCGTCCCTGGACCCAGGAAATGACGCTTTGAGTCATGTTTTTAAATTTTAATTGTGTAAAGTCGAGGATGAAATTATTAAGTTAAAAAAAATGCCCTGCAACTACATGTGTAGGGGAGAAATGGGGCGTTTGATTTCGCCCGTGCTGCATGCTCCCGGCCGGCCGGCCGGCCGGCCGGCCGCAGAGGCCGCACCACTGTCGGACCATGGAGGTCGGACACACTTCAGATGAATATTGTCCGTGTCTTTCCGCCCGGACGTACATTCTGAGTTAAAGATTTTATATTCACTGTCGGAAACAAAATTCAAAAGCGGCGTAGCAAGAAAGAGCTGTCATTTTGTATCCACTACAAACCTGGCCACTAATGTCTTGGCCAAGTTCTGGCGAAGATTTTTGGCGGTTAATTTTGCTTGACAACCAACATATTTTGTGCACAGGTCGACAGGGGAAACAAACAAGCAGTGGTGAAAAATGTTTGGTGCTAGGACATGGTCTTAAAGCGCTCTTTTTACTCTTTGGAAGTCCTTTTTTCAATAAAAAAGAATCACAAAATATGGAGGGGCTGACGTTTCGATCTTAGCAGAAATCTTTCTCCAAGTCTGTGGCCAAAAAAAAAATTGAAAATAGCGCCCTCTCTGCTTACAGTTTTGTGGTGTACCTGAACTGTACGAAAGAAAGTGGTAATATTTTCTCTTTTTGTGCTTGCATTTGGCGACGGCGCTGTGCATTGTGGTCTGGTAAACAACACATTTTTGAGGAGAAGTTGGTCGGCATGCGGTGCGTGATGCGGTGAGAACCCGGCTATATTTCGTGAGATTCGACCGCAATTATTCAGTGTAAGTACCTGAAAGTTTCTTTATGTTTGAGTACAGACACCCCTGGCTTGTATGGCCGTTTTATATGAAAAGAACATTGTCTTACTTGTTAATTTGTACTAAGTCTAAGTTCCACTTCATATCAACTTGAACATTTGAAGTTGAAGGGTAGGCTAGTGCCCTTGAGTACGGGAGGCCTAGACTTACGTTATGTGCTGCCAAGTGCCATGGGTTGTGTTGTCTGTTGAAGGCTCATGGTCATACTCAAATTCTGTTTCGGGGAAGAATTCCGTATTGGATAATCACAGTTTTTGATTATCACCACACCATTATTAAAAGGGGCGTTTGTTAATTTCAGAGGGTTTTTATTTAGTTCAGAAATGGCATTCAGTAGGCGTTGGTACTTGGCAACTTGGTGGTAGGAAATGATTGATAGCCTACCTAGGCTAGGAGGAACAGGTTTGAAAATAGCCAACTGATGTACTTGTAGGGTAAACTTGGTATATAACTTATTAACTTACCTTATAACATGGGTTGTGGCACTCAAAAATTGTGATGGCTGAAGTTGAATCTTTCCCCAATATTGTATTGAAAGTATTGTACATGTGTGCATGTACATGTACCTACATTGTAAACATGGTAAACCTACGTTATTAGTGTCATAGTTGTAGAACAGAGTTGTAAAGATTCAAGTAGATGACTCGACTCGAGTCTAACTCGAGTTACAATTTTTGGTAACTCGACTTGAGTCTCGATGGGTAACTGACTCAACTTGAAATTCTCATGGAGACTCAACTCGAGTGCAAGCTTGTAAAAGACTTGAGTCTCAAAAAATTAAAGCACAATTTCAGTTCGCTAGATACCTGAAACTGAAGTTATTTTCAGTACAGTATGTCTAAATGAAAATAAAAATACCAAAAAATGACTTACATGTACATGTATGTAGTTGTGTTTTTATTGTATTTTGATCTAAAGTTGACAACTCAAATTGACTTGGTACTTGACTCAACTTGACTACACCTCGTGACTCAACTCAGCTTCTTGACTTAATGACTTGACTCGAGTCACATTGTTAAAATGACTTGACTTGTCTCGAGTCACAAAATTAAGTGACTCGTTACAACACTGGTGTGCAGTGTAGCGGTAACTAGGCCTGTTAGTTGCCAGACCAGTTGACTCTGCATTGTGGGAGGAAAATGAATTGCTTTAAACCCTTGAAAACATTTGAGGCAGTCATGTATTAAACTGTAAACCGGTCCGCAATTATTTTCGCTGTTTTACTGGCACTGCATGGCACTGAACATGAACAGTCAGTGGAGAGAATTCCGTGCACAGACACCACAAATTTTTCCCCTGCAGTGACCCATTACCCACCTGAAAGCAATAACATTTCCCCAAAAAGTCAAATTCAGTAGACCCTAGTGAAAATAATGAGGTTTTGACTTAGAAACACTGAGAATTTTTCAGATCAATCGTACAATGTAGTGTTTGTTGTGCACAGCCCAACAAGTGTGGTCTCAATGGAATTCTTTCCCAGCCAGCCTGTCGTTTTTTTTTTAATTGTGATAAAACTTTCCCTTGTTCTGTATCCATTGTGATTGTGACTTCACATTCGTGAGATGAGACTTGTCCCTAGTGAAATTTGGACTTGATTTCCCCTTGAAAGAAATTCCCCATAGTCGCAAATCAGGATGAGAAAGTGAATTAATTTCCAGCAACAACATATTTGTTATGTAAAACAAAGGATATAAATACATTTTTAGTGTGCATTGTTTTTTTTTGGAAAAAAATATAAGGAGTGAATGACTTGGATTTGATTCCCCATGCCCAAGGTTCGACACATTGTCGTAACTGAATTTAAGTACATGTATCTTTGCATGATACTGTGTTGTACTTTCACTAAATGTTTTAGAGGATCTTTAGATAGATTCCAGTTTTATATTATTAATAGCATTGATTAAACCTTATGCAAAAAGAAATTGTATTAAATGCCTTTCAATTAATTGAAACCTTAATTGAAAAGGGATCAAATGCGTGATGAAAATCTTCCCTCCTGATAATTGTGCCACCAAGTATCGTGCTTGTACATTGTAAATGTACCTTACATGGTACATGTCGAAAGTCCAAGATTTAGAGTGAAATAAGGTTGATACAAAGTTCCGCAGGCATCAATGGAACTCAAGTTCTTCAGGTAGGGACCTCTGCAGTGCTTTTAATTATACATAATCCAGTTCCAACATGCCAAGTGGTTTAACATTGGACAAGTTCAAATATGTACAAAAATTAATGAGTGGACCTTCATATGCATGAGCCAAGATTTTCTGTCCACTAGAAATAAAAGTTCTGGATCGTTGTCATTCATGTTCGCATGCAGCAAATTAAGATTCCTACTTTTCGACGTTTTCAAGATGTACATGTACTTAGTGTCAGGGAGATGTGAATTTTAGTTGCAGGCTTTTGCCCTTACCAGACGTATCTAGGCCATAAACATGTAGACTGTATACTCGGTGTTTGTTCCACAGCTTGCAAAAAAGGTTGTGCTTGTAAGCTTGTGAATTTTTCGTCAGGTGAGGGCAAAAACCTGTACGTAAAATTCACATCACCCTGACGCAAGGTAAGTCTCGAAATAGTTTGTGGTACCCGCTACTTCACGTACATCTGACTCGGACTGGCCAGCCGACCACGGCAAGCTCAGTGGTTGAGAGGTTAAGATGTCTGTACTAGTAAGCAGGAGGTTGTGGGTTCGAGTCCCACCCGAGTAAGCTTGTGAAGTTTTCCTCAAGCTCTCGGACAAGCACTGAGCATACAGTGTTTATAAAAATATACATTGGATAAGGGCAAGAACCTGTAATTAAAATAATTCTAGACTGTTCCTCCCTTGGGTAATTTTGCTACAACCTGTCTGACATGACGAGCCCTTCCAATTAGGGACGTGGTACAAAAACACATCTGACGTCTACTCATTTAGAAAGTCACGATTCCTATTGGGGTTGATCATTAACAGGATGGCGTCATCCATCATTGCCGTTGCTTGTATCTGACACACACGGTAAGATACCAGTAGGGCCATGCTACCGGGATCTGTCATTGTCGGTTGTTATTCGACATCACTTTTTTTCTTCACAACAGTGCACAACATTGATCATTTTCTCTGAAACACAATATTCAAAATGTGTGTGGGGAGGAATGCATGAAATTGCATACCTGAATGAATGGATGAATTAACATGCATGTATCAATGAATTAAATAAATAAATTGATCATGTTGATAAGGGATGAAACAAATGAACTAAAAAGATAAATAAACCAGTGCAAAAAATGAAAGCTCTTCGAAATAAACACTGATAATAATGATGGAATTTGTGATACTTAGGGCTGTGCCGAATATCCTAATATTTGATCGTTTATCAAATATTTGAATACTGTTTTCGAACTTGAATATTCGAATGCAAAATTCATGAAAAGACAGGGATAATTTTCCTCTGTTTTATGTGAGAAAAATTGCACTATGGAGGCTTGTTTCAAGCAAATTCAAATGAAAAGTGACAGAAATCTTACCACGACTCAAAACTAGTACAGTGTTCCATGCTGAAAATGTTTCATAAAAAGTATGACCACCAAAAATCTGCTCTAGTTCCTCTTCGTCACAGTGGTTCAAGCCAGAAAAATTCACTTTTATTTCACTTGTTGACTCATGGTTTATTGAAGTTAGTCTGGTCCCAAGATGGATCCATCCTTGTTGATCATTATTTGTTAGCAATATTTCCAGAGGTTCATCTTTTGCCGTCACTGTCACGGAGTTGCAACGACATGTACATGATAAACGGCTCAGAATTGCGCACGAACCTTTGGTATGCTGATCACCCTGTCTGGATTGTTTTATGTACACAGGCCACACCCGGCTGGCTGCTTATGAAAGAGGACCCACGACGAAGAGGGTTGATGAATGAAATGTTCTGCAAATGCCAACCGTACCATAAATTAGACCCCTGAGACCCCCCCCCAAAAAAAAAACGAAGAGAGATCGGACTTGGACTCATCATCCCACGGTGAATTTCTGCGATCACTGGCTGAACTCCTATCGGTGGCGTCGACGAGCCGAGGCTGGCTCTCTGCAAATTGCTGGACTCTCTTTTCTCTCCTCTATGGTTGAGTGAAATTGGAGAGAAACGAACGCAAGTGTCGTTTGTTTAGATTGCAGTGCACAGTGAAGATTGGTTTCAGGAAACTGGAGAAGGTCGTACACCGTGTTCCAAACAGCAGGATCTACATGTACAAGTGCCGTGGTAGCCTCCAGAGATATTGCCGCAAAGGAAGTGGAGAAGAGTAATGAGAATTTCTAATATTCCGAGAACTGTTTTCCGGTCCTGAGTGTGCTAGAGAAACTCTATCCTCGGCAGAAGAAATCTGACTGCGAGACCGACCTTTCAAAGTTCACACACTGACAGAGTAGCCAACTTGGGTGGAATATCGGTATTCTTTGAATCTGATTGCAAAGTGGTTACAGAACATGTGAACTTGCTAGAATCAATGCCGTCTTTTGACCCAGCTGCGTGTGTACGTTGGCCAACCCCTATTGCAGAAGAAAGACTTTCACAGTAGCCTGTTGACAAACTGGTACCCACATTGGACGAGTAACCCCAGACACAACCGCTTGCCAGGAAATCAATGCCCTATTTCTGGTCTTTGTTGAAACTTAGTTTCTCCCACTTGGCACTTGCAGCAGAGTTTGAAAGGAGTGTCCAGTGGTGAATTTATTGCACCTGTATGTACGTAAGATAATGATCTTATCAAACCACTGAAGTAAGGAGTAACGTGGGAGGACACCTTGCCACATGCACGTATTCTGCACATGAACAGTGCATAATTTAACAGTGCCTCCTTTTGCTGACAAAATGAGAGAGAGCAGCCTGTTAGAAGCTGGAATGAGGTAGCGCAAACTCTTCTCAGATGCATGTACCTTCCCTGCAGGAAGAGACCTTTTTTTTTTGTGAATTGTGAATGACGTTTTGTTGAAAGCGGAAGTGAAACCAAAAAAATGCCGCCGTCCTCGGGCGAGCTATGGGGCTCCCACTTCATGCCAGCCAAGATCAACATCGAATGCCTCCTGCCCACGGGGATAATCGTGCCCCTGGAGTGCGTCCGGGAGGCCACCCTGGAAAACGTCAAGGCACTGCTGTGGCGGGAGGCCCGGAAGCTGCCCCTGGCCAACCGGCTGGGCGATGCCTCCTCCTACATCTTCGTCACCATCACCCAGGACGCCGAGCGGGAGGAGTTCTATGATGAGGGCCGGCGGCTCTGTGATCTACGGCTCTTCCAGCCCTGGTTGAAGGTCGTGGAACCAGCAGGGAACCGGGAAGAGAAAATGCTGAACTACGAAATAGGTACGTGCCCTGAACACCTGGCATATGACCTTCCTTTTTGTGTTTTTCCATGGAATCAGCATTTTTTTAATTTCCTGAAGAAGATCTAAAAACAACCACAGTAGGAAGTTCAATGCCAGCCATTATTTCCTGACTCTTTGCTTGATATGCAGCGTGTTCTTTGCAACTTGACCGTCTACCAAGTGACATTCATTTTTGTTTTCAAAATACAGAAAAGAGACCAGAGGCAAGGGAAGTGGGTCATTCAATGAGGTTGGGACCCAATTTGTGACGGTGTCCTTGTTACACATGGTAACTTTTACCATCTGTCATGACCTGTAGAGCAGTTCACTTACTCTGTAAAAATAACCCACCTTTGTGTTTGGCCTTGCAAGATGTATAACGATGTCACTTTGGAATCCACATACAGGGAAATAGCTGTTCGTTTTTACAGAACCCATGTAACAATTGACACCTTCACAAATTGTGCCCCAACCTCACGGAATGACCCAGAACGCAGAAAACAAATAACCAACTGAACAAGCAACCAACCAACAAAATAAACAAACACAGACAAACCAAGGAAGCACTCAAGCAAGCAAAAGAAATCAACTTGACATTATGCCCACTGCCTGAAATGCATGCACATGTAGTTCTGTTTCCAGAAATACACGACATCTGAAAGTAAGTTTGGAAAAACCATTTCCCACACTTTTTTTGTGCTGATTCATCGTGCAGCCGAGCGTAAATTGGTTATGTAACAGCAAGCAAGGTCAGGTAGCCTTTTTTTTTTCAAATGAAATGAACACCACTCTGCTTACTGGCAACTAATGCGGTATTACACCGGGTTACACAGTCCAGGATGTTTCGTGAAGTTGTCAGTGTCACGTTTACCCTAGAAATCTGCCCTCCTGCCAACCCCCCCCCCCCCCAGTTTGGGGCAGTGCCAGAATAGGGTAGGTGGGAAAACTTACAGGCAGATCTGTTTTAGTTCGGTCCTTCTATAAGAAATGTACTGGAGCTGCTGTCACTGATTTTGTTCATAGTAACAACAGTAAGGTGCCTCAGCATGAAAACCCTAATTGCCTTTAAATAAAGAGGCAGTGACTAGCCCTGTCGAAGGAACGACTTGCATCTTGGCCTTGGAAGAATGAGAATGGATTTGTGATTTGTCGGGGAACATGGCTTGCGACTCAATTTGATTCTTAGAAAAATGACTCGGTTACGACCACGTGTGTTGCTTGGACATTTTTGTTGTTGGGGGCGGGGAAAGGAAGGGGGACAAGACATTCCTTTGGGGGGGGGGATTTCTGGAGAAGGGGAGGAGCATATTTCTGGGGGAGGGGTGAGCACTCATTAAGGAACTGATAAACCATTAATTTCAATATTTTCCAAAAAACGTCTTGATTTTTATCACCGTTCTTCTCTTCTGTTTTTATTTCGTTTCCATATTTTCTTTTTAATATTTCAGTTTTTCTTCCATTTGTACAAGTTTTCCTCCTTCCAACCCCCTGTCAAGCCCATGATCACAACACTGAATTGATTTTTCCAGGCACGGCCATTGGCATGCCCGTGACGGAGTTTGACTCCATGAAGGACCCCGAGGTGGTGGACTTCCGTCGCAACATCCTGACGCTCTGCAAGGAGGTGGTGGAGGAACGGGAGAGGCAAGGCAAGGCGGAGCACGCCATGTACGTCTACCCGCCCAACACCTACATCTCACCCGAATTGCCCAAGCACATCATGCAGAAGCTGGACAGGGGTAAGTGTCCAATCTGGGAAGAAGGAAATAAAACAAACACCCTAAACAAACAAACAAAAACAAACAAACAAACAAAC